ATGAAAGGAAGGAAGGAAGGAAGGAAGGAAGGAAGGAAGGAAGGAAGGAAGGAAGGAAGGAAGGAAAGAAAAAGAAAGAAAGAGAAGAAAGAAAGAAAGAAAGAAAGAAAGAAAGAAAGAAAGAAAGAAAGAAAGAAAGAAAGAAGGAAGAAAGGAAGAAAAGAAGGAAAGAAAGAAGAAAGGAAGGAAAGAAGGAAAGAAAGAAAGAAGAAAAGAAAGAAAGGCAGGAAGGAAGGAAAGAAAGAAAGAAGAAAGGAAGGAAGGAAGGAATAAAAGAAAGAAGGAAAGAAAGAAGAAAAAGAAAGAAAAAAAGAAAGAAAGAAAGAAGGAAGGAAAGAAAGAAAGAGAGAGAGAGAGATGGAGGGAGGGAGGGAGGAAGGAAGGAAGGAAGAAAAGAAGGAGGGAGGGAGGGAGGAAAGGAGGGAGGGAGGGAGGAAGGAAGGAGAGAAGGAAGAAAGGAGGAAGGGAGGGAGGAAGGAGGAAGGAAGGAAGGAGGAAAGGAAGGAAGGAGGGAGGAAGGAAGGGAGGAAGGAGGGAAGGAAGAAAGGAAGGAAGGAGGGAGGGAAGGAAGGAGGGAGGGACGGAGGGAGGGAGGGAGGGAGGGACGGAGGAAGGAAGGAGGGAGGGAGGGAGGGAGAGAGGGAGGGAGGAAAGGAAGGAGCCGCGTGCAGGAGGCGGCCCCCGGTGAGGAAGAGGAGGGAAGGGCGAGGAGAGGTGGCGAAGACCCACCCTGGATTCCAGAATAGACCAGGGGAAGCTTGCACTTTTGTTACTTCATCACGAGACATTTCGTGAGCACCTACTGGTTCTGGGAAGTTCGGGACCGAGAACGCATTTCTGCAGAAGACACAGTCCCCTCCCTGATGACCTCAAGGTCCCCCAAATGACACAGGCCTGCCTGGACACTCACAGCGAGGGCATTCACCACGGAGTGTGCAAAGATTGCAGCAGGCCGGCTGAGGGGACAACGGGCAGCCCCAGGGAGGGCCAAGCCGGCCACCTGTCTTCTAGTGAGTGTCGGTCAGAGCTGCGAGGATGGGGCAGCAGGCGTGGGGCAGGAAACGTGAGGGCCCGACCCCAAAGGGCCTCTGGCAGCAGGAGGTTCTGCTGTCAGACCCCCTCGTCTGCCCAGAGCACTGGCCGCCTTGCGGGTTTAGGGGTTGTGCAAACAGAAACCTACCCCAAGCCCTCGAGGCCCCTGCAATGAACTTGGGAAGGAGTGAGTGAGGAGAAAGTGAGGGCCCGAACGCCAGTCCCTGCGCTCTGAGAGAGGATGCGTCTGTGGCTGCAGGAGGGGCACCCACGGAGGCTCACGGAAGTACAGATTGTGCCCGGCATCCTCAGCGCAAGCCAGGCCTGAGCTGGGGCCGGCAGCTCCCGCTTCCTCTCCTGACTATCACACTGCAGTTCTCCCTGCCCCTCAGCAGGGCGCCCTCACTAGCCCCAAAGGACTGTGGGTCAAGTCAGGACGCCAGAGAGGGGGACCCACAGAAGCCACCAGAACAGGCTGGGCAGCTAGCGTCAGGCCCCACACGCCCCACGGGGGCAGGGCTCTCAGCTGCCACTCCAGGTGTTCTCTGATTTAAACACAAACGGTCATTTCCACATGAGTGTGTGAAGGTGTGCAGGGCGTGGGAGGCCTGAGTGCCAGCGTGTCTTCTGGGCTCAGCTTATTCCGATTCTCTTCCCACTCGAGACTGCACACCCAAGCAGGACACCGTGCGAGCACAGTGACCTGCAGATGGGTAGGAGTGCGGTCCCTGCAGGTACTGGGGACCTGGTCATTGTGGTCCGAGGTCTCCCTGCGGGTCGCCATGCGGTGCCACGTGCTCTCCAGTGCATCCGCACACACACGAGGACGCAGTCAGCGCCCCGCCACGCCCTTGCCACCCCGGCAGCCCCTGGGACACCCTGCCCTGGTTGATCCCAGGAGCTTCTGCTGGCTGGAGCTGGAGGGAGGCAGGCAAGGCCGGGGCAGTGGGGGCCTTCAAATGAGGCCTCTCTGACTTCCAGAGAGACATCTCGTCCTCCCTCTCTTTTATTCTCTCTGACTAAGCTGCCTCAGGGCTGGTGGTTTCAAAACTAGCAGCTGCAAACTTATAAAGGGAAAAAACCCAAACCACAAACCGGTCTTGTGAAAACTGTGTGCCCGTCTCAAAGTGGCCGTAGGTGCCGAGGGAAGCCTGTAACGTTGGGGAGGCCAGGAGCAGGTGGGGCGAGGGCCCTGCTGGGCTTGCGCAGTGGAGACGACTGTACATGGCCCTGCACGGGCCAGGGACAGGGCTGAGAGACACTGGGAGGAATAGGCAGCCTAGCTAGCCGGGCCGCCGTGCCCCCTCTCCCTGCCAGCCATGTCCGAGACAGTCGGCTCCCCAAATGCACCACAGAGTGCCAGCTTCCTCTGGGAGGCCCCGGTCGGCCTCCCCCACCTCCTCGGAAGCCTTTCGGGTGAGGCTCTGTCCTGGTTCTGTGCCAGCCCCGCTCCTCTTCCCTCGTCCCTCCCCCTGGACACTCGTCCATGCCCCCCTGCATCCTCACACCTTTCAGAGCACTAAGTCCACAGACACCTCCCACACCCAGTCGGGATCCCCTCCCCCACCGCCCCACCCGGCAGCTCAAGGCAGGTGCAGGAGCAGGAGGAAGGAGGGGTGGTAGGGAGGAGGGCCTGGGGGAAGACCCTCTGGGAGACTTGCCCTCGCCTGGCCCCACACTGCACGGAAGTCTGCAGGTGGGTCGCCGAGTGGCAGGGTGGAAAAGAGCGTTTCTCGAGGGCGCTGACTGGCCTGGCCACTTCCCGTCCCCGCCTCAGTGCCACAGCAAGGGCGGCTCCGGCCAGCACGAGGCAGAGCCCGAGTCACGTGGCGGGCCGCTGGGAGATGGCCTGTGGAGGAGAGGGCAGGTCCCCCACAGCCCAGGAAGCCTCCCAGCCTGGCCGGCACCTGCTGCCGCGGAGCTCACGGGCATGCGCAGTGAAGGGGACCCCCGTGGGCAGCGGTGCTACAAACGGGCAAAGGAAATGCAGGTGGGCGTGAGTGGCCGTCTCGGAGGGAAGCGAGGGAAGCCATGACGGCTGGGTGGGGCTGCAGAGAGAGCCTCGAGGAGGAAGTTCTGAGCGGAGGGCGGGGGGGCCAGGCTGAGGAGGAAGTGTGCTCCGGGGGAGGCGCTTGCGTCGGGGAAGGGCCACGCGGCCTGCAAGGGGCCCAGGGAGCCGTGCCCCTCGAGGCCCCCCAGGGCCGTCATCGGAAGCGTTTCCAGGAGGATGACCCATGCCCTGGTTGGAAGGGGCGTGAGAGAGCGGCAGGAGCATGGGTCGGGACCCAACATCTGGAAGGTTCCGATGGGTCAGTCCCACCTCTGAGAGCAGGCCCCTGAGGCTCGCCCCAGCTGTGAATGAAGAAACCGTTTCGTGAGCGCCGCTGAGCGCAGATAGCACAGGATGGCAGAGTGCCTCGCTGGGCGCCTGGCAATGGGGCTCCGGAATCGACAGCGGCCAGCGTGCCGTCATGGCCTGGAATAGACAGCTGCAGGGCACAGAGTACTGTCTAGACCCGCAGCGAGCTACAGCGAGGAGAGTCTGAGGAGGAAGAGGGGGAGGAGTCGGGGTGCACGGGTGCTGCTCCCAGTCAGTCAGGTGCCTTGGCCCCCTCTCTGTGTGACAGTCATAGAGACCTGGCAGGACTCAGGGCTGGGTCTGCAGTCACCGCGGGGGACAGAGCAGGTGGGTCCGCTCTGAGAGCCAGCCTGCTGCAGCCTGAGACTCCTGTCCGGACTGAGTCCCGCTGGATTTAGAAGCAGGCCATCGGCAGCGGGGGTGGCACATGCTCTGCTGCTAGTCCTCCGGGTCTGCGATGCCCGCCCATTTCTGTGGTGTAAACACTCCCTCCAAAGCCGGTTTCAAGCTACCACTGTGGTGTCACAGGGCGCAGAGTAGGAGGAGGTGCCCAGAACCTCCATGTCTGGTCCGGCATTCCGCTGCATACGGCAGCCCCACCCAGGGTCGCCTTGGCCCACCCCAGACAGGATGGGCACCCTGTGCCTGCAGAACTTGGCCACTGATTATTTATTTATTTATTTATTTATTTATTTATCCTATGAGCAAGAAAGAGAGAGTGCACACCTGCAACAGGGTCCCAGTGCTGCAGCCCACACCTAGCACCAGCCGGCCCTGTCATGGGCACATGCCTGCCCCAGTAATCAGACATCTCCGGATGCAAACCCGGAACCTTCCCATGGCTCAGCCTCCCTGAGGGCCACACTTCACCGCCGCTGCACCCCCATTTGGTCCTTTTTCTCCCCACGGGGTCTGCATACCAGGGCCCACCCCAGCCTCTGCCAGCCAGGGTCATGGGCACACACACACCCATCTGGCATGGACTGGAGACCGTAGGACCTAACCTGGGGCCTCCCGTGTGGCTAGTGTTGGCTCGTTTAAGTCGAGGGGCAGGAGTCGGAAAGGGAAGGCCAGGCCTCCTTGCTCTCTGTCTGGACTCCCTGGGCAGAAGCAGTGCTTCCCTGCCTGGCCTCACTTCCCCTCGGGCCAGTTCCACCCTGACTAGCACATTCGATTTCCTCATGAACGACATGGCCGCCCTGTGGGCCTTCAGCAGACTGCTCTGCTTTCAGGGACTCAGAGGTGCAACCTCATCCATGTGCCAGCGAGCTGACGCTGCCCCTCCCACTCATCCCTGTAAGCAGAAGCCCTGCCCAGCCATGTCCAGCACAGGTGGGCCCCAGGCAGTGCCCCAGCAGTTTCCCCGCTGGGTGGCAGGGGTCTGCCTTATCCTCAGCAAGTTCCTGGCAGAGGCTGGTGCAGAACCATGGGTCCAGGAGCCAAGAAGTCCTCGGCCGCCATGGGAGTGTCCTCTCGGGGCACAGGAGGACAGGGGCCGAGCTGACAGCTGTGCTGTAAGCATCTGGAATCCCAGTCCCTCGCTGCCTCCGGGCGCGCTCCGGGTTTGCATGAACGTTTTCTGGCTTCACTACCCAGGTACCGTGCCTCCTGGCAGTGGGTGCAGGCTCTGTTGGCGGGGCTTTGCCTTCTCCCTTCCACACACTAGCTTCTCCCCAACGCTCACGCCCAGAGTGCGTGTGGATGAGCCAGACCTGCTCCACCTATAGCAAAGCCTGTTAGCGTGGCAGTCAGAGCCCCATCGTGGGGCCCAGCAGCTTCTGAAGAGGGACTACCCCCGTAGCGTGGAAACAGATCACTTCTGCTCCCCGTTTACCTGGGGGACTGACTTACCTGAGCAGCGGGCGAGCCTGCCCTGCCTGCGTTACGCCACGGGATAAACAACACGGAAAACAAAACAATTGGGCCAGTCCCCTGGCCAGAGGGAGGGGCACAAGACGGGAGGAAGTCAACTCTCCAGCCACCGGGGCTCCAGCCTCCGAAACACAGCCTCCTGCCCCACCTCCTTTATTCAAGAAGTCAAGAGCCGCTTGAGATCTGCACAGCAGTGCCACAGCGGCCTTGCCAGCCTTAGCCCAGGAAGGGCTGGCCGAGCCCCTGGGTGTCTGAAAGACTGAACGGCGCGGGGTCTGTTGGACACCCGCAGTTGTACCCCAAAGTGTCCGAGGGCAGCGCAGAGGCAGCCCAAAGAGAAAGGTGGGGAAGCACTAACAGCACTCCAGGAAGTGAGCTTATCGTGTTCATAAACAGTATGGCTCCTTTCAGGTGTCCTGATTTATCTCACAGGAGGGAGACCTGCTGGCACCTCTTCTCCAGGGGCTCGGAGTTGGGCAGGATCTGCCGTGAGTGTGGGAGCTCAGAGAAACGTCTTGTCTCAGGCATGCAGGCTGCAGGCTCTACCCGCCCCATGTGTTCGGCCTGGAGCACTGAGGCTGAACGAGGACTTGGAGCTCCGGACAGGGAGGCGGACAGGTGGGGAGGAGAGGATCCCCTGAAGGGCGTGAGGTCTGTGGGGCTTCCCAGGGCAAGCCCAGTCCACGGCTCAGCACAGCTCGAACCCTTCGCTCAGCAAGGGAGCTGGGGCCCCTTCGCCACCCTGCACCAAGTGTGTGTGGCGGCAAAGCAGCAGCACGAGCTGGGCTCTCAGAACCAGCCTGGAAGAATGCGTCCCCAGAACCCAGGGAACGGCGAGGATGGGAAACAATGCTCGTGCTCCAGAGTGTGGGACAAGGCTAAAGGGACGGTGCTTCTTCTCAAAATGCATTCTACAACTCGACTGTCTTTCTGGGATAGGAAGGGCTGAGAACATGAGGCACCACATTCGCTGGTCAGCCCTGAGGTGTGGGGCACCCTGGAGGATGGTGTGGACAGTTCTAAGCCTGAAGCTTTTCTCCTCTCAGAACACGGACTTCAGCCAGTCAACTTAGCGTTGTTTCAGGACATAGAAAAGCTGACGGTTTTGAAAGCAGGGTCTTTATTCCAAAGGGTTCTTTCTGCTATCAAGTCCCACTCCAGTTTTCAGAGTCCTGCCAGCCCGACTGTGACTACCATGCGTCGTGCCTGTGTTAGGTAGGTGCTGAGCTAAAACCTGTATCTGGGGCCAGTCGGTAGTGCAGTGGTTAAGGCAGCTAGATCCCACATAGTCGACTGTGTGGTTCAAGTCCTGGGCCCAGAGACTTGAGAAACACACGTGTGTGTGTGTGTGTGTGTGTGTGCATGCCCAAAATGCCAAGAGGAGAATGGAGGACTGATTGCAATGTGGTCGTCCACCTGGGCGGTGCTTCCTCACTCTCCTCTCTGTCTCTCTGCAGTGAGCGCAATGCCCCCTGGTAAAACTGAAGAAACAGCCATACTTACATTTCCTCTTTCAGCCCTCCCTACCACTTCGTCCCCTGTCCCAGACGAGAACCCAGGCATCTGGAGTGCTCCTGATTTGCCCAAGGTCCCTAGCATGCGTTTGTGGGTCAGAGCCCATCTGCCCACTGTGGCTGGCCTGCTCCCGTAGTCCCACGCTCCTGGCACGCGATTCCAGACTTGCTCAGCAGAGCAAGGCGCTGGGCACAGAGCACATGGCACTGCCAAGGCCGGGGCCAGCGTCCAGAACATGCGTTCTTGTCTAGACCGCTGACGAGCAGCCGGCACTCAAGAAAACCACCCCCAACGCAGTCAAGAGAGCTCGGCTCTCAGGGTGGGCTTGGGATGGAGCTGGCTTGCGTTTCCTTTGGATGGCTCCTGTTAGAGGCGGGAGGCGGGCTATAGTGTGGGTCTCTGCAAACCCTGACACCAGGCCCTTTTCTAATGGCTCTTCTTCTGCTAGGCTCCTGGGGGCACTAGACCAAGGGCCGTGTGCCAAATAAGCTGCTGAGGGTTGTGTTTCTTTATCTGCAGGGAAGTGGAACAGGGGAGCCAAGTCTAATTAATGAATTTCAGGGGAAGCTCATCTGTGGAATGAATGATTCTCCCAGAAGGACTCTGTTTAAGGCTCACGGAAATCCTGCTTTTCCTCTACACCATTTCCATCCTTTCTGAGCCTTTGCTGAAGGTATCCAGAAATCTGGTGGAAAAGAACATGCACTGGCCTTGGGAAGGCACAATGTCCGTCTTCCTTCTCGGGCCGGGAGACCGATTTTACACATGTCCCTGTCTTCTCCCAGTGAAAAGTTCACAGTAACCGTGCAAAGTAGCACCTTCAGACGACTCGCGGGGCTGTATATACCACCTGGGCCATTTCCTGTTGCTCTCACAGCTTGTAGGGCTTGAAGGGAGAGCAGAGCTGTGACCAGAAGCCACATGGGGACATGTACATTCCCCGTGCCCACTTCTTCCTGTCCGCTAGAGACCAGGCTGGACTCGCTGCCTGGGGGAGCCCTGAGTGTTGGGGTGGGTGCAGCGTGCTCTCATGCCCACTGGCCCGGCTGTCCGATTGCAGCTAGATGGTGAGAAAGCGCGAGCGAGCCAGCGTGTGTCTAACGGTCTGCTTGTGTAACTTGTGCACCACAAAACAAGAGGTCAAGTAGGAAAAAGTGGTTAACAACCAGGTGGCCCTCTTTTCTGTTAAAGGGGCAATGTCTGAAAAAAAAAAAAAAAGTCCTCAGAGAAGTTGTCTGAACACT